ATGAACATATTTTTCAATAATGGACCTGATACGATTTTAAACAAACAGAAAGGAGGCTCTGGAAAAATTCAGTCCTAAAACATGTGACACCGCTGCGCCTTTTGGGAGTTCGTTCAATCTGGTGTGACACAGCTGCTTCTTTTCAAAAGTTCATTCAATCCAGTGTGACATAGTAGCGGCTTCCCCTGCTACCCCCCACCCCCCACCCCAAAAAAAAAAATCCTCACTAAGTGGTCAAACCCACTACTCACACCCACCTGGTAAAGTCTGGCAGCGATCCACTCCTCCATCCCTGCATTGCATTTCATTTTCACTTGGGTTCCCACTTGGGCCCCCTCCTGGGCCCCCTCCTGGGTTCCCTCGACCTGTCTCACCGTGTCCTGTGGCCTAAGGACCAGACTCTTGGCCCGGGTGCCGACCTCTTCAGCACTCTCAGAGTCTTCACCGGCCCGGGTCACCACAACCCACTGGTACCTGCAGCAACACAAGTCACATGTAGTCTTAACTTACAATATGTGGAGAGCGGTTACACCTGGGGAGTTGTCCAGACATATGTGAGCTGGACTCATAAATCCTATCATAGGTTTTGTCCACTGTGACCAATAAACATAAACGGTTTTAAGCTTCATGGATTGATTTAAGAAATGTGATTGAAACAACATATTGCTGCTTACACAAGTTCACAGACCATTACTAACAAGAATTAGGAAAATTACACCAGAATACCCCTGGATGGTCAGGAAAAAATGCCGGTCTGATCTGAGAGATGGCTGCTCGATCTCAACAATAGTAAATGTAAGGTAATGAGAATGATGATGGATCGAGATGACCAGAAGGCTGTTTCACAAATTAAGGAAGGAAGCCCAGGAAGGGGATATAGTAGCAAATATAGTGCCAGTTCAGTCTCCAGAAGCACCTATCAAATGAATCCCATCAACAAACACGCAAAGGAGGCGGTCATCAGAGTAGCTAAGAGGACTCGGTAAAGAGAATCATTCAGTGAATGTGGACAGTGAGGCCTTCAGGTCCCTATAGTGAGGCTCATGTAAGAACAGACAGGTCTGGCACGAAGGTTTTACGTAAACAAATGTTGTCATATGTTGCCTGTGGACACAACCGACGCGAGTTAACGGACCGACAAGTATTCCTAGTGACCTGGATGACTCGCTCCACCAGTGGCCTGGATGACTCGCTCCACCAGTGACCTGGATGACTCGCTCCACCAGTGGCTTGTGCAGGCGTATGGTGGAGGTAGTGAGGGAGTCGATGTGGTCCTGCTTCCCCCCCGTATTACATAATAATTTCATAAAGTACACTCACAATACCACAAGGTAACCCACACAACACCACATAGTACCCGCACAGCATCACGAAGTACCCACACGGCACCCCGAAGTACAAACACAGCACCCCGAAGTACCCACACAGCACCCCGAAAAACCCACACACCCGTCCCGTCCTCCCTCCCCTTTCACCCCATTCCCTCCCTGTCCCTCCCTGTTATGATCTCAGCCTGCAGGAGAAACGAGTCTCCCTCCTTGAGAGTTATTCATCAAGCCTGACCTGATTAGAAGGTCTAGCAAATATTGAGGTGATAACACATATGTAAAATAGTTGCTTGGATGTGTATAACAATTTGAGATTATGGGCAATGAAGAAGAAAACAGATAAATGACTGGCTAGGAGATGTGGACATTTTGCTGGAGGCGTGAGGCTCGCTTCTGGAAGGGCTTTGACCTCACTTCAGGCCAGACATCGCAGGGGAAAAGCCGCGCTCCGTTGAACTCCCGTCAGAAGGGAACCCCTAGTGATATATCTCGAAGAGAAGAGAAGTGTGCAGACGTACCAGCTGTGGAATCGAGCTGGGGACGTGTGGCCTCAAGTCGTGGGCGATAATTAGTGAATATTAAGCCGCCCGGAGGCATTATTGTGGGCGGTGGAAGCGCGCTGATCAAGCTTCGTCAGAGGGATAGCGCCCTCGACCAGACGATCTGTGGTAAGCACGGTATACGCCAGTTCATAGTGATTGCTTGTAGTTGGTCGTGTGCCCAGCGACAGTAGCAATGTTTATTTATAAGTTAGACATGTTTTAATAAAGCAGAAAGCCTGAAATAAGAGAGTGAAGAGGGAGGAACATGGAGCGACGTCCGTCCCCTCTGAGCGCTGGCAGGTGACTGAGAGCTCCCGACGGCGGAGGCCCCTTGGAGTGAGTGAGGACCGCCGCCGGGCGAAGTGGAGTATGGACCCGCCCAAAACGGGGGAGTCCACTCTCACTGTATGTAGAGGACAGATAGAGGTTTGAGGCAAGCATATTGTGTGGTTATTTTTGTTTATGTGTTAAAGGGGAAACATTTTATTGGAGTGTCGATGGGTTGCAGGTTTGTCTTTGGGGAAGAAGTTGCTGAGAACTTCGAAGCCAGCACAGATGAAGTAGTTGATGAGACTCCAAGGTAGTGGAGCAGAGGACCTCGAGCTGTGAGAAGCAGTGAAGAGGAGTGTCACGTGCTTCTGTAGAGGTGGTGAAGCACCATAGTTGCTCGAGGAAACTTCATGGTTTAGCAGCCAAGAGAGCTGTGGAGGAACCTAGCAGAAGTAGTAGAGCACCATAGTTGCTCAAGGAAAACTTCATGATGGCAGCCTGGAGGAGCTGCAGAGGATCCTGGTAGTTAAACCCGGAAGAACCTGAAGATATCAGGGTAGTGAACTTCCAGAGGTGGAAGGGAAGTTCTGGTGGATTACTTGTAGGGAGTTGATAGTGTTTGGTTGTCGTTTGCGTGCAAGACGCAGTGAGAGGGGAGTGATTGTTTGCAGTGTTACATCAAGGAGTGTTTTATACTGAAGTTTAGAGTTACAGTCGTAGGCTGGATTACCTACAGATGTATGCGTTCTAGGAATGATAGAGTGATCGATTGATCATTGTTGTGCATCAATGAACATTTATACTGATATGTTATTGCATTCAAATGCTGTTTTTCTTCGTACACATTTAAAGATATATATATATATTTCTCTTGTTGCTAGTGCAACAGTGTATGTAGACTTGATCAACTTAAGGAGGTTGATAGTATCAGGTGGTGAACCAGGAGATAGGACACCACTTGATAAGCTGATAATAGAGTTCTGATGGTGTTGGAGTGCAACCTGATTGTAATATTATAGAGTATAGGATTCATTATTATTATCTGTGTGTATATATCGTGTATGTTCTTTGTCCAGTAAATGTATCCCAATTTACTGGTGTTTGCCCTTGTCCTAGTGAATCTTCCCAGGAGGTAGTAAAGAAGGAGAGAGAGAGAGAGAGAGAAAGAACCAAGAACCACTGCTGTGGACAGGGTAGAAGGTAATCCTAATAAGTCAAAGGGGGATTGAGGAGATCATATTACCTAAGGAGAGAGTGGGGAGTCACAGCGGCTCGAGTGGGTGTGTGCACAAGACAACGAGGCTAAGTGTTGGAGCCGCATCCCCTAAATGTGTGACGTTGAGCCCCTCTCCAAGAGCCAGAAACGCCAAGGGTGATCTCCTAGTGAGGTATAAGCACTCTACTGAGTTGTGGGTTGGGTTGTCCGTAGAGAAGGATCAACGACGACAACATCAACCAACCCACAAGACTATAATAAAATTGGGGGCCTGTGTCCGGGAGAGTGAACTGACACACCCACACCCTGTCCAAGAGTGGATTTGTACACCCTTGCTGAAATAAACTGTGTGACCGCAGGTGTTTACTCTCTCTCTTGGGAAGACTCACAGGACAGGATGGATAAGGTGCAAGCGTTTGTGGAGTCAGGCAAGCCTGAGGACTTGGAAGGTTGCACGAGGGATCAATTAAAACAAATAGCAGAAAAATGTGGCATCAGGTTGAAAGCATCAAAAGTAGCTGGGATGAAGGATGAGATCCTGAGGCAGTTAAGAGCCAAAAGTGAAGCAGCAGAGCAAGGAGCCCAGAAAGGAGCTGAAAGTAGAAAGGAGGATGATGGGCAGGATGAAGTGAGATCCCAGGGATCGAGTAGGAGCAGCAAGAGTAGCCGCAGTAGCAGGAGTAGCCGAAATAGGAGCTTGGAGAGATTCCAGTTAGAGCTCCAGATGCAGCGTGAGGACAAGGAGAGACAGTTCCAGCTGGAAAAGATGAAATTAGAACTCCAGATGAAAAATGAAGCCGAGAAAGAAAAAGAGAAAACCAGAATAAGGGAACTGGAGTTGGAACAGGAGAAAGAAAAAGAGAAAGCAAGACTAGAGATGGAGAAAGAAAAAGAGAAAGCAAGACTAGAGGTCGAAAAAGAAAAAGCCTAGGTCGAAAAAGAAAAAGAGAGAACAAAACAAATGCAGATAGAAGCGAATAGAACCTTGGCTGAACAAAGGACTGAACATGGCTTGCCAGAGAGCACCACCTAGGTATCACACTCACCAGATGTTAGGGTTAGGGAGAAGGACATTCCCTTGTTTGTTCCCGAAGAGGCAGAGAGCTTCTTTGAGCATTTTGAAAAAGTAGCCAGTATCAAGGAGTGGCCACAGGAGGAATGGGCCCAGCTGGTCCAGTTAAGATTGACTGGTGCAGCCAGGGAGGCATACACCCAATTGTCGCTGGAAAAGTGCCAGGATTATGCCACAGTAAAGAGCAGCATATTGCGCTCGTTTCAGCTAACCCCAGAAGCTTATAGGAAGCGCTTCAGAGAGATGATCAAAGATGGAGCGTGTACGTTTGCTGAGACAGCAAGGGATCTGGAAAGACGATTCCAGAAGTGAATTGAGGCTGCTGGAGTTGGATCTTACGCTGACCTGAAGCAACTGATGGTCATGGAGAAGTTTTTGGAGATGATGCATCCCGAAACAAAGTTCAAGATCCAAGAAGCAGGGATAAAGGAGGTGAAAGATGCCGCAGATAGGGCGGATATGATTACTGAAGCATATAAGAGCTTGAGGGAGAACAGAGTGAGAAGTGAGGCGAGATGCAGCAATAGCAGATCCAGTGGAGTCTGGGGAGGAAGAAATTATGAGAGACCCAGAAGAGTCTGGGGTGAGAAGAATTTTGATAAATGGGCAGATAAAAGTAAGTACCCTAAAACTCAGAAGAGTAGGTCGCGCACTTCGTCTGAAAGGGAGGATGGAGGAGCTAAACGAGAAACAAATCGTTATCCAGGGAATCAAGAGTCCAGTAAAGCTCCACAGAGTACGAGTAGTACGTCTGGCCCGAGGAACTCCAATACGAGTGGGCAGAGTCAGAGCTACTCTGGTACATATAGAAGAGACTTTTCCCAGGTGAGGTGTTACAATTGTAACGGATTGGGTCACGTGATGCGAGATTGTAGGCAGGGCAAGAGAATTGTGACCCTGGCCATGTGTGACCCCCGAAGTAAATATACTAATGTGTTCCGAGACAAACCACAGAGAGCGAACTTAGTGAACGAGAGGTATAGGCCGTTCATGAGCAAAGGTTGGATCAGTATAGGAGGCCAACCTGAGGTAGAAGTTGGTATCTT